AATCTCATAAAGCCCTGCTCTATATGCAGGCCGATCTAAGGCCGTATGTGCTGCGACACTTAGTGGAAAATTCCTCCTATGGAATCTATAAAGCCCTGCTCTACTTGCAGGATGAGCTAAGGTCGTACGTGGTACTACACTTAGTAAAAATGCCCAATGTATATGCCTGGTTCGGAAAGCGAGTACTGCACAACTAAGTAAAATTCATTTAAAGTAATTCTACATGCTATTGTAATGCTCTTACAATTTTTGCTAAGTCTGTGAGGAAAAACCGTACTGAACATAAACAATTATCCATTCCAAACAAAATGTCATAAACAATCAAAACAATGTTCAATCGCAAGTCAAAAACAAATTGAGAAACTAAAATACCAAAAATCAATGTTTTTAATCGCCTAAGGGTCTTAGGGGGTTGGGGTAGTATGTTCAACATCCTGAGCTGCCAATAATACCTGGACTCCAGCCGACTCCGATAACCTCCACAACTCCTCTTTCTGCCCCTCCAGTGCCTCATCTAGAAAGGCCACATCAAGATCAGGCCTCTCCTTCCTGATGTGCCCCACTAATTCCTCCAGGGCTACCACGTAGACATCCTGGGCCACGACGTCAAAATCGGAGGACTCCTTCCAGGCCTTCACCGCTCTATAAATCTTGGCCTCAGCCTCTTCAGCCTTTTTTGTGGCCTGCCTCGCCCTTTCGTTGGCCTCTTGTACCTTCTGAATGGTCTTTCTGACTTTGTCGCGCTCCTCTTCTGCCCGAGCTCTGGCCTCTTCCTTCGAGGCCCTCAACGCCTTGATCTCCTCCATCAATCTCTCCTCGACATCGAGCCTGGAGTTCAGCTCGATCCCCATCTGGTTCAGCTTCTCCTCGTACTCCTTCTCCCTCAGAGCGAACTGGGTTTTTCAGCCTCTATGCTATTGTAAAGATTGAAAGACTGATCTTTTGCCTCTATGAGTTTGTCCAGCTCGGACTTCACCTGTTTTTCAAAAATCAAAAATCAAGTAAGTCATTAAAACAGTTATAAAATTAAACAAAAATCAAGTAAGAGGTATACCTTATCCGCCACTGCCATCATGTATAAAACTGAACAGTGGCCATGGAGCTAAGCAGTGACCAAAGCCTCACCAATGGACATCTCGTTCAGATAGCCCTGCTCTCTTTCACCCCAGCTCCGGGTAAGTAGATTGGCCGACTCTCTCAAAGGTGAAGTGAGTGCGACAGTCATTGCCCTGGAAAGAAAAGGAGCTCGAAGATAGTCCAAAAATATTTCTGGTCTGTGTCCCACCAGACTTTCCTAGCTCGGTCTCTATAAATCTAGGCACCGATCCTGTAAGTTCGGAGAACTGGTCCCGACAGCAGAAGAGACAGTCGGGGATGGCAACGAAGGGGACGACAGGGTTGGGCTCGGCAAAGGTACTACCTCAGGAATTCTCAGTGATGCCGGGGGCACAGATCGGTTCCTCTTCAATGGAACCTCCTCCTCCACCTCTTCAGAACAGCTCTTCATCCGTTCCGGGACTTCTCTCTTCTTTCCCTTAGCTGCAGCCGCCGCCTTAGCTGCCTTGTAGCCCCGCATTTTGTCTTGATGATCTGAAGAAGTAGCAAAACGTTCAAAAAAATATGAATATATATAAAGAAATCACAAACCGCGAATGAAGATCAAAATTTTACCTGAACTGGATGGAGCCGAACTTGAAGCTCGTACTTGCAGCAATCCAGCCTGGTATAAGTTCGAATTTGAGATTTCAAACTTATAGGACCTTTGCTTTCTAGGTAATAATCTTATTATTTCAGCTCGTCTCTGTGTATCTTTGGTTAACGTCTTCTTCTTGTAATCTGCACAAAGAAAAATACCGAGGTCAGTACTTCGTCAAACATACGCCTTGCTAAAAGACTAAAACCCAAAAAGACACTTACATAACGAATGATAGAGCCTGGGAACCACGTCCTCCCTATTCACCTCGGCAGAATGAAACTGCCACTCCCCCAATACATAAAACCATTCTTCCTTCCATTTCTTAATTGAGGAAGGGGTGTCTAACACCAGAGAACCTCCCGTCCTGGGCCTAACGCTTGTGTACCACCAGCCCGAGTTCTTCGCATCCTCCTTAAAAGTAAACAGAGAATCGAACTATTGGACACTTAGCTCGAGATTCCCCATTTGGTTCCACAGAATGAGGGTGGCTATTAAGGTTCGCCACCCATTAGGGCATAGCTGCATGGGAGCTATGCCCCAGGAAGAAAGGAATTTACGAATCACCCTAGGAAAAGGAAGCCTAAGACCTGCCTGAAGGATAGCCGAGTTCAGAGCAACACATCCCTTAGGAGGAGTGTCAGTTCGGTCAGATGGCTCTGGCATTATCATAACTACCGAACTAGGAATGACGTATTTAGCTCGCCAGCTGGCTAACACATCCCCTGTCACAACCGACCTATAAGAACTCGCCCCCACTCCCTAGAATTACTCTCCTCAACATCCTTACTGGATCTACCTACTCCTTTGGAACCCTCAAGTCCTAAGTCCATCACAGGACGCCTTAAGTCAGTCAGGTTAATTACGAAAATAGGAATGAGAGTAAAAACTTCCCTACAACTAGAAGACGAACTCATCGAGAAGGAGATTGACTCTTCCTACTGGTTGCCCCAGGAATGAACTCTAGACTCGTCTGAACTCATGTATAAACTAGGAAAAGAAGCACAAACTGAAAGGAGGCAGCAGATAAGAACAGAAGGATACCTGGGAGACGAACTGGGAAAACGACCTCACTCGAATACGGGAATATGAACTTAGGAAATCACCCAAATATTTGAGAAAGTAAAACCACCGAAATAGGAAGACAAATGATTGACCAAAAATGGATTTAAAGAAAGGGGAGATGAGAGGGCGCGATCTGAGCCGTTCATCCGGAAATAGAGGAAAAATATCAACGGTTCAAAAGTCTGGGAGACAAAACGACGTAGTTTTGGCCAAACTTGCTGAAGAAGCTACTTATAAATGGCGTACAGCTCATCCACTTCAAAAGATGGCACTTGTCACAGCAATAAATGTACTTCTTGGAGAAAGCATCACTGAGGTCAGCCCCCCTACGGTAGAGCTGACCTGGGGGATAACTGTTGACATCCGAACTCCGATCTAGTATAAACAGTTTGCTAACCCTACCTCAGTTAAACGTAAGTTCGACCCACACCCCAGGTCGGAAAAACATCATGATTACCCCTTGTCACATCACCCTATCAATCAAATACACTTGCAACAGGTGACGTCATTGCCGCCCGAAACAACCAATTCCTAGTCCTCGAACTCCAGCCCCTTACAGGTCATCATTACCTGGATAATACATTGACACGTGACCACCGACTTCATCGACCAATTACAGGAGAATTTGACGACCCGAGTTCTGAGCTCGACACTGTTGCTGATTTGATGTAATTTCGGCTAAAACTATATATAAATAATTGAATAGGATCCTTGTTAAAGCAGAGCGAATTCATATAACGACTTCTGTCACAATCACACTAAAATGACATCTTTGTGATCTTTTCTAAGCATCAATTGCCTTTTTTTCTTAAAGTTTGTTTAAAATTATCCTTGCTAATTTTGACATCAACAATTATAAATTGCATGACCAAAGTAATATATGCGATATAAATGTTATATTTTTTTTAGAACCATGTCTATACGTTGATATAGCTTTCTTCGTATTTATTCTTTTATTATACTTATACCATTTAAAACAATTTTAACTTAGTAGTTAGTACCAATACTTAGTACATCATATTTGTATTTCTCAGCCATAGTGTGTCTTTTTCTTATCAATAGTCAATCTTTTCTGAAATCTATATAAATTTTCGATGTCATGGAATAGCATTAGAAGCATTTTTCTCGAGGAAATATCTTTATAGTAATAACGGATGCCAATCTCACTTGGGGTAAATCCCTATATAATCAAATTTATTTATCCTCAAAATTTTCAACCAAAATTCAATTAAAAAAAATAGAAATAAAAAATCAAACAATTTTTTCCATGTCTTAATTATTTTAAAATTTGTTCCATACATGACTTTACTCCATAGGACGACCGTTGGCTCTGACTCATCACCACCTAGTTGCGTGAAGCTTGCCTTGCGGTGGATACATAAATTTTTAGTTAGGGAACACAATCAAATTTTGTACTCGATTCGAGAAAATACAGATTTACATTTAAAAAGCTTTCTTCATTAATATTTTGCTCATCATTTTCATCATTTTGACTTCGAACAGTCATTTTATTAATATTTTGCTTATCACAAAAAACTGTATATTTATGTTTTAAAAATTTGTAATGTATTTAATACAAACAATTAATTCAAGTGATCGAAAGGAAAAAATATATAACAAATATTCAATCAAATAAATACAATTCATTAAATATAAGTTAAATTGGATATAATCAGTTTCGACACATTCTAGGCACACAACTAAGATAGGAGAAAATGCAAATTTTGGTTCTAATTAATTGGAAATTTGATTGGAAAGTGAAAATTTGTAGAAAAATTATATCAAATTTTTAAAAATTAGAAGGGTTAAAGTTTTGATAAAAAGTGTGAGGGAGAGCGTAAGATACAGTAAGAGAAAAGAGAAAATTTTTCAAATTTATTGTAATTTTACCCCCGTTTGGTGGAGGTTTTAATTAGTTTTTTAGTATATTTCGATAAAAGTAAAAAAGTTAAGGATTCCATGAAATATTTTATAAAAATTAATTGTTAACTTTGATTTAGATTTCAATCGATACCCAAACATGACTTATCCAACTACAACTGCATCATTTCTTTCACAAGCAAATTTAGATTTGTAGATTGATAGTGCATCTATAAAGAAATTCTGAGGATTAACTTGCTACATTTTAAAAGTGTAACACCAATTTACTACCAGAGCAATAGGTGAGGATCAGTAGTAAAATTGCTAACAAGAGAGTGATATAGTGCATCATGCCTGAAATTATGTCCCTTTCCAATCGAGTAGTTTCCACGCGCAAAAATTTTGTCTCAGTATATATAGATGCACAAAATTGACCCTTCTCCATCCGCCTGTTTCCGCCATCAGATTTCTGCTCCGGTGAATTCAAATTTAGGGAACAAACAAACCCTAGATTATCTATCTTATCTCTCTAAAGATCTATACAGCTACACGCGATGACGAGAGGTGCTAAGAGGAAAACTACTCACAAGGATGAAGCTTTCAAGGAGCCGACACAGCCGATTGAGGAGAATGAGAAGAATGAGCCCAGCCAATCGGCTGAGGGAAGCAAAGACGAGCAAAGAAAGCCGGCTGAAAAGAATTACATAGAGCTAAATGAGCCAGCTCCGGAGGAGCCGAGCACGAAAGTGGATGAGGAGCCGAATAAGAAAGCTGCTAAAGGTAGAGCTAAGAGAACCAAGACTCTGAAGCCTGAGGCCGAGGAGGAGTATTTTCCTGACAAGAGGAATTTGGTAATTACTTTGATATGTAACATGAAGTTGTGTTATATTGATTCTTGGAACACGCTGAAGAATAATTTATAGAAGTTTGTTTATTAATATTTTTGCAATGACATTGTGCAGGAAGACCTATGGCAACAGGTCTTTCCAGTTGGCACGGAGGTTTGAATTTAATTAATTTCTCAGATTTTGAGCATCCATGAAGATTTCATGTGCAATTTTAGTGCTCCTGAGTTTGCATTTTATATTTTTCTGAAGTTTATTTTATCTTCTTTGGATGCCAGTGGGATCAGTTGGACATGGTGTATCAATACAACTGGAATTTCTCAAATTTAGAAGTGAGTTGCCTAATGTTAATTCCCCGTATTTGACTTCGACCAGCTAAATTTATGTTTATCTATCCTTTCGTCCTAGTTAGACTTTCAGAGAACAGAATTGTGAAATTAAAAGAAAAGTTTCTAGGAATTTTGAAGCTAAAACTGTTTGTGGGTTGGTGGCAGGATGCATTTGAAGAAGGTGGGCTGTTATACAACCAAAAGGTCTACCTCTTTGGATGTACAGAGCGTAAGTGGAATCTAAAACATTCTTCATATACTCTTTGATAACATCACATGCACTGTGCAATTCGAATTAATTGTCATGTTTAATATAATAGAGTGAACAGCGCACTGTGCTTAATGAGGTATTTTGGCAGGAGTAACCTATCTGGCTCTTCTTGAAATATTTGAACCTTTTTGTCTCTCTCTCTATTATAATTTATTGGTAATTGAATTAGTATTTGTCATTGGTTTCTTAACATATTGCTTAGTTGTTTAACATCTATTGATCACAATTGATTGGCTCTATGATTCTGCTCCTTTGCTGCTTTATAACTGTTAATTTGTTCCTGCAGCACAATTGGTCTCTTTCCGGGGTCAAGGAAAAGTTACAATGATTCCTGTTGTGGTTGCTGTAAGCCTTCAAACATTAGATATTTAATCGCTTTTGTCATAATTGTGTTCATTTTTTTTTTTAACTGTTCCCACTTTTTGTTTCCAATTGAGTTGTATCCTTCTGTTTTGCTTTCTGTTTGGTTCCAAGCAGTGGCCATTGGCCACTTATCTAGAATACAGACAGAGAAAAAAAAAAAAAAAAGACTAGAACTTTTTGGTTTCTTTAAAAACCACTCTATCTTCCCTCACCTGCCATGCTCCCAATCACACCCAAGATCGTCACCCTCAACCATATACTCCACCCCCTAATAGTTAGAAGACAAAGAGACCACTCACTCAATCTCAAAAACAATGTCAAAATATCGAAACCTGATTGCATAGCTGAGCACATTGAACCTCGGAAAGTTTTAAAAACCAGATATGATGAAGTGTGAAGCTAATTGATTCATGATTAGCAGGATTGTTCGGAAAGGGTGAGTTTGGAGTTGAGTAATCGTTTCTACTGGGTATGGGACTGTTGTTTGATGGTGATGGTTTTATGCTGTTTAGTCAATGGTCAAGTGGAATCTGTTTTCAGAGCATCTGTATGATATGAAATGTGTTATTATTCACCTTGTTCTGCATGATCGTTCTATGTAAATTTGCTGCTGATAATTTATGTATATCTTCTTTTAAACAGGTGGTGTCACCTTTTCCCCCTTCTGACAAAATTGGCATTAAATCAGTACAGAGGGAGACTGAAGAAATTCTGCCTATGAAGCAGATGAAAATGGACTGGGTTCCATACATCCCATTGGAAAATAGGTATTAAATCTATCATTTGTTTTATTGTGTTTTGCTTTCCTTCTTCATTTGGATGACAGTTCTGCAATTTCACTGCTTACAGGGATTCTCAAGTTGAAAGACTTAAATCCAAAATTTTTATTTTAAGTTGCACCCAGAGAAGGTACAATTCTATTTTCTGCTTGCTCGTCTCATTTCCTGTTGTCAAATTTTTTTTCTGTTTGGGCTAAATGTGCTTTATTTCTTAGCCCGTGTTAATCGTATCGTTGATTGGGCTTCACGCACATTAAAAGAAATTAAGACATTAAGAATATATAGAAGTACATAAAAGAATATAAATAAGTGGCCATTTGATCCAAAAGAGAATACTCTTACAAGGTCAGATCAACCTTTTACTTTTCATGCTTGAATTTTCTTTGACCTGATTTTTATAGTCTATTAACTATGTCAGGAACTTTTTGGGCAAAACATAAACTAGGACAGGGGAGCAAAATTGTCACCATTACTCCATTAATGTGACTATTCCTTTTTTGTTATATTACATATATCTTAATGACTCTCAATAAATGAGTCACAAATATAAAGAGACATGGAACTTCTCGAGTAAAACTTTTTCTTTATTTTTATTACCCTTTAAATCTTTGTTATGAATTTTGAAGGTAGATCTTCTTAGCGTGCATCTTAAAAAGGAAAAATTATTGTCCCCAGGGCACATCTCCAAGTGGTAAAAGGAGAGGGTGGAGAAATCCACCTTTACTTGAGGCTGTTGTGTCAATGGTTCGAATCCTGAAATATGGATTTGGCTCTTGGGTAAGTGCAAGTGTACAAGCAGCCTTCCACCCTGTACCCTTGGAGGCATAACCTGCGATTTACCTCCCTTACGATACTCCAGGGTATAGGCGGTGGGGGACCCTTAAGGTTGGGGTTCAACCTTTAAAAAGGAAAAATTATTTATGTACAAAAATTGTATTATTTTGTCATTGACCATGAGGAAGTGTACCGCTCTTGTTTGGTACTTGTTTTGTATCTAAGTTGAAGTTTTCTTGATTTCTTCGTGCTTTTCCAATGCTTCGTAGCTGTATTTCATGGGTAAATCATATGAAAATTTGCATCATCAAATTAAGTTCATTTTGCTAGCCTAATCCTATGCACGTGTCTCCCATCAATCCTTATCGTTCGACATACTAACATTACCTTAAAATAAAATTGCCCGTGCATTGCACAAGCAAAAAACTAGTTTGATTAAATGTGTAGAAGATGATTAATAGCGCAATTCAATTTTGGATTTTTCTATTTTTCCTCTCATTTTTCTCTCTTTTTGAATTGAAAGGCAAATGTGAGATTTTAAATCTTTTACATTTTTTTGTAAATGACTGTGGTCAACGGCCTTTTTGGTAAATGGGCCGGGTCACCTACCATTTAGCCTCAGATCCTCGTGTTATTCTTTGTCTAGGACTCGAAGTCGGGTAAGTTACTGTACCGGTTTATTCTTACCCGACCCGGTCAAATATTTAAGAATTAAACATGAAAGTTCATCTTTGATCCTCAATCTATCATTTCTATACCAATATTGTCCTCAATATTAAAATCAAAACATAGAGATCCATAAATTTTCAACTTTATTCCACAATTATATTACACAACAGGTGGGTTACACTTAAATCTAATTAAAATGAAAATAAATAAAAGTGGGGGTGCCTGGAATTAAGAGATTGGAGGTTTGATAAATATGTTTTCATATTACCTTTTTCTTTTTTATTATTTTACTTAATTTAATTAAATTTATATAAATTTCTTTAGTTAAATTTTGACAAACTTTTGGACGTAAAATATCCATTCTTGCATAACATCATTGAATGATCTAGCACTAAAATACTCCATTTTAAATATGAGGCCAACTTGCTACAAAAGTCAAAGGATAGGGGCTGCTCCAGAATATTTTCTAGTCAGTATTATCAGGAACGAACGCATAGAACTTGAGTTAGAGGGCACAATCAAATTTTGTACAAATCGAATACTTTGTTCTTGATTTTTGAATGATTCATATTTACCCGAAAAATGCAGCTCATCATTTTCTTCCATTTGATTTTGAACAATCTTTGTATAAATATTTTGCTTATCACAAGAAAATGCATATTTATATTTTAAAAAATTGTGTATTTAATACAAACAATCAATTTAAGTAGTCGAAAGAGAAAACAAATAATCAATATTCAATATTAATAATCAATCATATAAATACAATTCGTTAGATATAAATTAAATTTTATATAATCATTTCAGACAAGTGCTATATACACAAATAGAATAGGAAATAATTGCAAATTTAGGTTCCAATTAGTTGAAAATTTGATTGAAAAGTGAAAATTTATAATAGATATGATAATTGTAGAGAAATTATAAACAAATTTTAAAGAATTAGAAGGGTTAAAATTTTGATAAACAAATTTTAAAAAATTAGAAGAGTTAAAATTTTGATAAAAGGCATGGAGAGAATACGATAGAGCAATAAAAAAGAGAGTTTTCAAATTTATTGTAATTTTACCCCCGTTTGGTGGAGGTTTTAATTAGTTTTTTAGTATATTTCGATAAAAGTAAAAAAGTTAAGGATTCCATGAAATATTTTATAAAAATTAATTGTTAACTTTGATTTAGATTTCAATCGATACCCAAACATGACTTATCCAACTACAACTGCATCATTTCTTCCACAAGCAAATTTAGATTTGTAGACTGATAGTGCATCTATAAAGAAATTCTGAGGATTAACTTGCTACATTTTAAAAGTGTAACACCAATTTACTACCAGAGCAATAGGTGAGGATCAGTAGTAAAATTGCTAACAAGAGAGTGATATAGTGCATCATGCCTGAAATTATGTCCCTTTCCAATCGAGTAGTTTCCACGCGCAAAAATTTTGTCTCAGTATATATAGATGCACAAAATTGACCCTTCTCCATCCGCCTGTTTCCGCCTTCAGATTTCTGCTCCGGTGAATTCAAATTTAGGGAACAAACAAACCCTAGATTATCTATCTTATCTCTCTAAAGATCTATACAGCTACACGCGATGACGAGAGGTGCTAAGAGGAAAACTACTCACAAGGATGAAGCTTTCAAGGAGCCGACACAGCCGATTGAGGAGAATGAGAAGAATGAGCCCAGCCAATCGGCTGAGGGAAGCAAAGACGAGCAAAGAAAGCCGGCTGAAAAGAATTACATAGAGCTAAATGAGCCAGCTCCGGAGGAGCCGAGCACGAAAGTGGATGAGGAGCCGAATAAGAAAGCTGCTAAAGGTAGAGCTAAGAGAACCAAGACTCTGAAGCCTGAGGCCGAGGAGGAGTATTTTCCTGACAAGAGGAATTTGGTAATTACTTTGATATGTAACATGAAGTTGTGTTATATTGATTCTTGGAACACGCTGAAGAATAATTTATAGAAGTTTGTTTATTAATATTTTTGCAATGACATTGTGCAGGAAGACCTATGGCAACAGGTCTTTCCAGTTGGCACGGAGGTTTGAATTTAATTAATTTCTCAGATTTTGAGCATCCATGAAGATTTCATGTGCAATTTTAGTGCTCCTGAGTTTGCATTTTATATTTTTCTGAAGTTTCTTTTATCTTCTTTGGATGCCAGTGGGATCAGTTGGACATGGTGTATCAATACAACTGGAATTTCTCAAATTTAGAAGTGAGTTGCCTAATGTTAATTCCCCGTATTTGACTTCGACCAGCTAAATTTATGTTTATCTATCCTTTCGTCCTAGTTAGACTTTCAGAGAACAGAATTGTGAAATTAAAAGAAAAGTTTCTAGGAATTTTGAAGCTAAAACTGTTTGTGGGTTGGTGGCAGGATGCATTTGAAGAAGGTGGGCTGTTATACAACCAAAAGGTCTACCTCTTTGGATGTACAGAGCGTAAGTGGAATCTAAAACATTCTTCATATACTCTTTGATAACATCACATGCACTGTGCAATTCGAATTAATTGTCATGTTTAATATAATAGAGTGAACAGCGCACTGTGCTTAATGAGGTATTTTGGCAGGAGTAACCTATCTGGCTCTTCTTGAAATATTTGAACCTTTTTGTCTCTCTCTCTATTATAATTTATTGGTAATTGAATTAGTATTTGTCATTGGTTTCTTAACATATTGCTTAGTTGTTTAACATCTATTGATCACAATTGATTGGCTCTATGATTCTGCTCCTTTGCTGCTTTATAACTGTTAATTTGTTCCTGCAGCACAATTGGTCTCTTTCCGGGGTCAAGGAAAAGTTACAATGATTCCTGTTGTGGTTGCTGTAAGCCCTCAAACATTAGATATTTAATCGCTTTTGTCATAATTGTGTTCATTTTTTTTTTAACTGTTCCCACTTTTTGTTTCCAATTGAGTTGTATCCTTCTGTTTTGCTTTCTGTTTGGTTCCAAACAGTGGCCATTGGCCACTTATCTAGAATACAGACAGAGAAAAAAAAAAAAGACTAGAACTTTTTGGTTTCTTTAAAAACCACTCTATCTTCCCTCACCTGCCATGCTCCCAATCACACCCAAGATCGTCACCCTCAACCATATACTCCACCCCCTAATAGTTAGAAGACAAAGAGACCACTCACTCAATCTCAAAAACAATGTCAAAATATCGAAACCTGATTGCATAGCTGAGCACATTGAACCTCGGAAAGTTTTAAAAACCAGATATGATGAAGTGTGAAGCTAATTGATTCATGATTAGCAGGATTGTTCGGAAAGGGTGAGTTTGGAGTTGAGTAATCGTTTCTACTGGGTATGGGACTGTTGTTTGATGGTGATGGTTTTATGCTGTTTAGTCAATGGTCAAGTGGAATCTGTTTTCAGAGCATCTGTATGATATGAAATGTGTTATTATTCACCTTGTTCTGCATGATCGTTCTATGTAAATTTGCTGCTGATAATTTATGTATATCTTCTTTTAAACAGGTGGTGTCACCTTTTCCCCCTTCTGACAAAATTGGCATTAAATCAGTACAGAGGGAGACTGAAGAAATTCTGCCTATGAAGCAGATGAAAATGGACTGGGTTCCATACATCCCATTGGAAAATAGGTATTAAATCTATCATTTGTTTTATTGTGTTTTGCTTTCCTTCTTCATTTGGATGACAGTTCTGCAATTTCACTGCTTACAGGGATTCTCAAGTTGAAAGACTTAAATCCCAAATTTTTATTTTAAGTTGCACCCAGAGAAGGTACAATTCTATTTTCTGCTTGCTCGTCTCATTTCCTGTTGTCAAATTTTTTTTCTGTTTGGGCTATTTGGTGTGTGCTGGGAATGAAGATTACCAGTCTACATGGTTTGACCTTACTTGGTTTTATTCATTAAGTATGTTTGTTTAACATTTCAGTTAAGATTATCTTATTTATGATCAGCGTGATAAGTCTTATAAATTTGATTGTGATTTTGGCTTCACTCATTTGTTATATATCTGGAATTGAAATATGAGAATTGGTTCTATTGTAAAAGTTAGTTTCGCTTCCTTTCTTCACAGTAACTTCTTATTGTGTTTTTGAGGCATATACGAGACTATGAGAGAAAGAAAGGGCATCAGTGGAAATTTATGTTTAATTTCTAAAATTCTTTCGTTGCAGGGCCGGTTTGAAACATTTGAAGTTGGAGCGTGTGAAGAAATTTGAGTACTGCTTACCTTGTGAGTTTTATACTTTACCTTGTTATTTGAGTTTACTTTGGTGTCTGTTTGGTGCATATGAAAATCAGATTAATGGCAGATTTTGCTACTTCATGCAGTGTCGTAGGATTAAATATTCTGCAGACTTCCAATTCAGATAAATGATCCAGACACGATTAGACGACCCAAATTTACATTTCCATTTTTACCCTTCAAATGCCAGTCAAAATGACCATTTTACTCCTTTATATTTTCCAATTCTCAGTTCTGGTTTGCTGTAAGAAATTAGAGGGACATCTTGAGAAATGAAAACAGACCTCTCGAATCTTGGAAGAAATGGAGTCAAACCTACCATTATAGCATCTGACAAACTAAAGAAGTGTAATGTGAAGTGGGACACAAATTTTGAATAAAAAAATGAGTTTTCCTCCTCTAGACGGGCTCAAACAGATTCTTAGCTGTACTTTTTATGGAAGTTGACAGTGTGCTTAGGAAATTGATATTTGCGTCCCGAGAAAGAATTTGATGCAAATGTAGTAATTGCTATGCTGTCTATTTCAGAGCCATCAGAGGTACTCTCTGCTATCTTTCAGGAATTCATGAAATGCCCTACACCTCAGTTCAATCAAGTAGATTTGTGTTTCTCTAATACATTCTCGCTGTTCTAAATTATTTCAGCCACCATACCATTTCTTTATCTAGCAAAAACTTTGATTGTATTAGAACAAGAGGCCTAGTATTTTCTTGCCAATAAAATTCCTCCAAACCCTTATCATCTATCTTTTCTCCTTGCTTGTTATCTTACAAATTGGTCAGGAAATTATAGAAATGACCTTTAGAAACCCTGTTTAATATGCTCATAATCCTTTACGTTTCTCTGAAACATCCATAAGCACCTGTACCATTTTTAATTAATGGTTCTGCCCAAGCTTTGACGTTTTCTTTCTTCTTGGAGTGCATATCCTAAGTTTTAATAATAATTGCACTAAGCCATCTTATTTTACTTTCTAGATTAAAATATTCTTCTTCTTCTTCTCCTTATTTATTAATTTATTATTTTTTTTTTGTTGGGCATGCCGTAGGTGAAGGTCAATATGATATTAAGTGTTATTTTTCTGCCGATTGTATTTGCATTCTGTTCTCACTGTCACTTTTATGCGTGCAAAATATTGGTTTATTTACCATCATTCTTAGGTTGTATTGATGGAAACTTGCATCTGTTACGTAATATTCTGGTCTAAAGGTGATATCATTGAATAAAACCCAAATCTCCCCACGGGACCATGTTATTTATAACTTTAGATTACTGCAGTGTGTTTTTTGTTTGATTCTCTGATGTCCTGTTTTCTCCTCCAACTTCCATTCGTCTTTTCGACTGAAAAATCATTTCATAATCTGTTTCAAGGCTAATATACTTGCAGGACATCATAACTCGAGACATGCTTCAAGAATTTCTCCAGTTATGATTCAGAAAATTCGTTAAATTCCTTTGAGATAAAAGTGTGTGGTGTATTCTGCAGATCTATGTGATCTCTCCGTTATAGCCCCATCTGTTTTCAAGTCATGAACATTAACATAGTATGACAGACCCTATCCCATAAATTGTGAAAACATGCCGGGTTGACAACTTCTAATACTTATGCAGAATTGACAATGAAAGCAAATTGTTGTTTCATAATTCAAGTATAGCATGAATACATTCTTAATGCTGTTAGAAGCATTCAGTATCAATCATCAACATACCTTTTTGTGTAAATCAAAATCTGGTTTGCAGATTTTATATGTCGACAACAATTTTTTGCTTACCATCTAATTTATGTTATTCTATTGAATCTGGTGGTGTTGAAGAGCATGGGATCATTCGTAAAGTACCTATGTTCCTTTTGGTTTCACGTAGAAGAACGTATGACAGTAACTGGCGTTCCTTTTGAGTGTACTCGGTAGAATGACTCTGATGATGCCTTTCTTCTTTTGCCAGACTTCTACCAGCCACTCCAGGAAGATGAATTCGAACAGAGCACGGTGGTTCAGATCTTATTTCCGATAGATCCCAAGCCAGTAAGATTCTTTTTGTAATACTAATCCCCATGTTCATATACGTAACTGAATTATAATTATTATGAGCTACCTGGTGTAACTCTTTTAGAAATATTAGATGTTGCTTAGCCCTAATCTGACTCTTAATAAATTAAAACTCTTTATTTTTAATACTCATTTTCAGCCACACATTTACATAATAAAATATTCTGCGCATAAACTCAAACTTTTCTTTACTTTTTGACTACACATTCTCTAAAAAATCACTATTCAAAATAGGGGCTTAGGCATGGGGCAAACTTGTATGACATATATAACACCAACACATGTTGAATCAGTTTAGGAAGTCAGGTAAATAGTAGCAACAAGCTAACTTTGTGTCAATTCTGCTCTTCAGGTTTTCTGCGAGTTTGATTGGGAACTTGATGAACTTGAGGTATGTCAATGCAATCTATGATTTTTAGTGGTATTGGAACAACTAGCAAATTGAAGCTTTTCTTCATGTTGATTGATGTGAGTGGGATATCCTCTGACTTAATCAAATCAAAATATGTTTAGGAGTTCACGGATAAGCTTATTGAAGAAGAAGAGTTGTCTGCAGATCAAAAAGATGCTTTCAAGGTAAACATTCATGACATGGTGCATGTAGCTCATGTCTCAACGTTATAAACCCCTGTTGTTGAATTGACTTTAATATGAACGGTATCTTCTTTTTTTCCTTCAGGATTTTTTGAAAGAGAAAGTTCGAGAAGCAAAAAAAGCTAACCGCGAGGTACGTTGTTGAAAAGTTCAGTGCAGCAAAGTTCTTGTTGACCGCATGTTGAATGTTGCTTTCTCTTTTTGTTTGGTATAGGCCAGGGAAGCCCGTAGAAAGGCCTTGGAAGAAATGAGCGCGGAAACCAAGGCAGCATTTGAGAATATGAAATTCTACAAATTTTATCCTGTGTCCACCCCTGATACTCCTGATGTGTCCGGTGTGAAGGTAAATATCTGCTCATGACCATCATTCTAGAAGAGGAAAAGTCGTGTTATTTAGCCCAAAAAAATTCCTGGCTTCATGATATATATTGGGTCCGTTTCCCGCCCAACCTATATACTCTGTGCGCATCAAATACAAGGAGTTGCAAGTTGTTTTACTGAGAAAACCACTTTTGCTTATATTGGGAATTTCAAATTCTAAAATTACATGGCATGGTGAAGTCGAACAATACTTGTTGGGCACGTTTCATCTTTTGGTACTGAAGATTGCATGATTTAACTTGTGATCTGTACATTTACCAGTATTGTGGGCTGTGTACATGTAAGGTGCGTCCTAGATATGTCATGGTAAAAATTAACCAAGATGGCAAGGTGAGTGACAATAAATGAGAATCCAATATGTGGGCTATTTAAATGTCATTTTATCCTTCGTTCTAAAATGTGCACCACAAAACTTGTGCATTTTCCCGATAAAATTAATAATTAATGACTGTTGGTGGAGAGATAGACTTGTGCCCTTTCCACTATTCAGGTTATATATTCACTTGAGTAGCTTTTTTATGGCCTCTACTACAAGCACAAATTTGGCTGGTTTTTAGAGGTTCTCCAGTGTTAACATGGATTGCACTAAAAATGATTGCCACTTAAAGCTAAAATAGACAATGTCTACAGAAGTTAGCCTTCAAATGCGACATATCTAAGACTATGTCTAGTTGAGACGTGGCGAGAAAAAAACTAGACATTATCAAGAGGACAATCTAGATGTAGAGGCTCTTCTAGATGGAGTGAGTCACCATAATTTAATATTTTTCACTCTCTCTCCCATTTTTAATTTTTCCTCTCGTGTTTATTATTTTGTCTCTCCTATAGAGATGAAATTAGAATTATAGACGAACTGATTGGAGATGAAATTTGAACTAGGTTGTCTTTTCATTAAATATGTAGACCAGAAGCCTTTCTATTTAGATGCCTCTTGGATTGCATGCAATGGAGACGCTCTTAGTGTGTTATATCCTGAATTTTGTATTTTTCAACGGTTGGTTCTCCGTGCTTTTATTGTGTCCTCTAACCTTTGCGGCCCAAGTCATCAAATTCTGAATAATGCTTATCCTTGTTAGTCTATTATTTCCAAATATTATTCCTCTGGTGGATTTTTTTATGATTATGGTCTCTATTGCATGGACACTTCAACTAAAATAGCGTGTCCGTGTCCGTATCCGACATGTGTCGATACCGACACTCCTTGGACATTCTACCATAATTATTTTTTATTAGAATATTATATATTTTTAACTCAAAATTATTAGTAAATAACAAATATGTACGTATATTTAAAATATTTCAACAAGAAAAATTAATATTAAGCATAAAAATAAACTTATGCTATATAAATGAAGAATTTAATCAACGTGTCGACGATGTATCGTGTTAGTGCTTTTTTGAAAAATCATGTATTGGCATATCTGACACGTATCATGTTAGATATACGTGTTTGTGTCCATGCATCATAGAATATGGTAAATGGCACTATTTGAACTAAAATTTAACTTCTTTTGTTTGCCAACTTGTTTTGCAGGCTCCATTCATCAACAGATACTATGGGAAGGCTCACAAAGTTCTGTGAGTGACTTGTCAAGGAAAGTTTATCATATGGAGAGAATCTATTACCCCGGACCACGTGCTTTGTGGGAAATAGGAACTTCTGAAAGGAATGAAGATGCAGTACGAAATATCTTACCCCGATTAAAATGTAAGCTTAAAAGAGGTTTAGACTAGTGGAGGAAATAGATCAAAAAAATGAAAATTTGATTACTTCTTCCCACCTTGTATTCAAAGGAAATAAAACAACATTGTTGGCTCTCAATTTTGGTTGTAATTTTTGAACACTTAATTTTCTGTGCTAGTTCATATTACCACTTTATTTTGGAAAGATTGAACATCGAATGGTTGCATCAATGTTTATTGCTTACCTACCCGGGAATAATTGGTTTTACTCATTGTTTGATATCTCAATGACATTTCTATTTACACACTGTACATCCTACAAAATTTTGTTTGTACTTCGTGATTTACATTTTAGGAAATTGACACAATAGTAAAGTGAAGAATTGACACAATGGAATAGCAAAAATTTCACAATTCGAGAGTTGTTTTTGTGTTGGTAGTAAAAACAAGAAATAATAATATCAATTTTTTTTTCGGTGTATTGTACGGATGAACAATAATTTTTGTTTTTTTTTGGACCTTTTGTATAGAAATACGATTAAACTACTAACAACTCAATGAATTAAAATTGACGATAATTTAACAACACAAGAATAACTCAAACGACATGAGGAACGACAATAGAAATTGGGAAAAATGAAGAAAACAAGAAAGGACTTAACAAGTAACGAAAAGATATAACCTTCAATTAATTTGGAGCATTGCTCTAATAACAATTGATGCGAACCCCGTAGCAATGTTGACTACAAAACCCACAACGAGATTGACGAATCCAAGAAAGTCAAATTACACTTCACTCTGTGGTTGGAGAAAATCTTCGATATGCTGTGCGAGCGCCCTATAAAAAAGTGCCATCTCAGCAGATGGCCCACACACCTCTGTGTGGGCCACCTGTCGAGGTGGCGCTCTCGTGCGACCGCCCTACCGAAGATTCTCCTGTAGTTGAGACTTGAGAGCTCATAAAGAGTCAAAGAAACGGCGCAATCAATGCAAATTTATCACTAAGCCAATAACCCCCACTCGTCGAGGTGGCGATCTCGTGCGATCGTCCTATCGAAAATTTTCTCCTGGAGTTGAGATTTGAGAGCTCATAAAAAGTCAAAAGACACAGCGCAGTCAATGCAAATTTATCACTAAGCCAATAGCCCATTATGTGAGTTACCAAGTACCAACCCGTTGGAGGTCTATTGGACAAAAAGCCATAGAGATTCTAAGAATCCCTAAGACTTGATCTGATGTTTACCTGTCCTTTGTTCAATAAAAATATATTATTTTTCCCTCATTTTTTATTAACTATATTTGTTTTACAACCAAATGAGGTAGTAATGTTAAAATATTTGAGTATTGTTTAAATACTCAAATGGGACATGTATTCAAATTGGTTTAAAATATCAGCCAATTTGAATGGATCCATAACCCACTTTCATCTATCATGAATAAGTGAACAATCTTTCTTCTGTGTCTTTGATAGTAGTCATGGGAAAGTTCAGAAAGGACTTGATCATAGATGGAGGCTTAAATTTGAGCAAGACTTGGGATGGATGTACTTTGAAATACAAAATAATAATAATAATAATAAGTTCGGTCAACCTTTTATTCTTTTTCGAGATCAATGGCTCTTTTTACTCGCTTCGCCCATAAGGTTGAGACCACGTGGCTTATTCTAAAGAGAAAATTAAAAAACATTTAGCCATTGCTAGGTAGGAATTAAATATAGATTTTAATTTAAATTAAAGTCATCATTTAATTTTAACATATTTTATGAATTTCACAACTTTTTAACTATAAAAAAAATTCTATCAAAATTCACTATTTAATTCCCACAAAACTCCCTATTTAAAGCTTCCATGTGTTAATGCTCTTAAATCTGAAATCTGAAATTCATATGTTGTTTTGATGCGTGTTGAATTTAGACAAAGTTTAAAACGTAAACGACTTGGACCGACCTGCAACAATCGGTCGATCTGGTTCCAAAATCTAGCTCGAACCGTGGTTCTATACAGAACCGTTCAAGTTCGTACTTTTCCACCGTTCTGATATTACTTGAGTAGCCCTGCATTTCACCCACGTATACCAACCCACTCCACTTCACCTCACCCACAAAGACAGGGAGAGAGAGTTACACGGATATATACGGGACAATTGTACGTATATATCTTTCTGTTAATTAAAATTGGGTTAATATTTAGAAAATGTTGAGTGCATCAAAGTTGCAGGTTTCGAACCCTGGGCGGCACAGGAATTGCAGTGGCAGCGGAGGTGGCTTTGTTTGTTCTCATCGCCGGCTGAGTCTCCGGTTACCTCCTCACCGTCGATTCGCTTCTTTGATTCTGCAATCAGACGATAATGTGAATGCCTCAATTGAGCCATCGGTTTCCTCCAACCTCACCTCCGCCGTTGGATCCTCTTCCTCCTCTGCACTGAACCTCTCACAGTGGACTCTCACTCAACGCCACATTTACATTCTCAATTTGATAGCGTGCGCGGTACACACATTTATTATCTGTTTATTATTATTTTATACACCTGAGAAAAAATTAAGTTTAGTGTTTATCATTCACCTTAGTATGAGAAAATATTTTCCTGTTAATTTCCTTAATATAATTTGATTTGCAAATGTACAAAACGATCAACTTATGCACGGATTGTTAAAGTCCTGCACCGGAAAGGGGGAGAATTACAGTTATTTTACTTTGCAGTATCGGTCTCGTCTTTAATTAGGCTCAACAAGGAACATAGGAGTAAACAAAAGAAATCTTAATCGAGGTTGTTAATTTATTGAATGTTGTTTCTGTATAACGAACACAATATCTGATTGAAATAGAAAAGTATTTTCCTTGGATACGACTCCAACTGGTTCGGCTCTTAGAAATTGGTTGAGTGAAAATCATTTATGTGCCATCTGTTTGGTGGATTTTAGGTGCATTTTAGTTCGCGATTCTGTGAAGCAAAAGGAAGAGTAACAGAAACATAGAAAATTAATTTCCCTTGTGTGCTCGTCATGAGAAAGTATTTCTTTGATTTTGAATATCATGAATGAGGAAGAAAATAAGTTGAAGACAAAAGGAAATTTTACCCCTATTTTCTTTGCAACGCTATAGTCTGTACTATGAATTGTATAATAATCACCCTATTCTTTATTTGTTAGAAAATCCGAAATATCATCAGAATCTAATACTGTAACCAGGTGACACCAGGTGACAAACTACAATTTTAATTATCAGAAGAATTCATTATGTCTATGAACTCAAGTATGGAGCCATTTATTGCTGATATGGGACTCTATGCTTGGTTCACACGATAAAATAATAGATTTCGTTCATATTTAGGTTGGTATTACTTCAATTCGGTAACATCTGGTGAATAATATATGGTTCATGGCTAAGGAAAACATAGAGTCTCACACACTTATACTGTATGCTCTTTTACAGAAAGTATAAGGCTTCAATTAGATCTTGGATTTAAGTGAGCATATGGCAAAAGAAAAAGGAAACCGGAGAGATCCCTTCCCCTGCTTCTTATTTCCTGTGCAAACAGAAGAAAGATTTTATATTTGAACGTCGTCTTAAATTTCCTTTGCATAACTTCCCTCACGTTATCCTCGAGAACCAATAACGCGAAAACTTTTTCTTCACTATTTACTCATTGAAATCCATGATCAAGTGAAGGTTCACTGGTTGTATTAATATAAAATATAGTCAGCAAGCTAAATAGTGCTTCTCCAATTAATCTTAATTATCAATACTGCAAAAAACTATCTAAGAGAGACAAAGGGAAAATAAAAAAATAAAAAAACTGTATAGGTGAGTGGATATCTAGAGATACAAGACATTTCAACCTGAAAATTTTGACGCTTCTCTCTTCCCTTTTTACTTTCCATGATAAGCCAACAACATCAGAAGGACCATTGGCCTCATAATCTCTCATCTTTCTCTTTCCAACGATTTGAGACTTGAGTAACAAGATGAGTTCTGGTTCAAAGATGATGGGTGAGATACAGGAAGTAACTTATAACCCAAAAGGTTTAAAGTTTTCACAAGAGTTTATTACCGTACGTGACTTCGGTATTTACTGAATTTCTACAGAAAAGGTTCATTCACATTGTACTTTTTGGGTTTTGCTGGTGACCAAGCCTCAAAATGATGTTCTTTTCATTTTTTCATGCTCTTCCGTACAAAGTGAGTTGATGAGTAAAAGGGTAAGGGAGAACACATATGGGAAAAATTAATTTTTTAACAATTTTCACCATTCTAGTTGTTGGGGCCTATCTAAAATCCACGTTGAATTAAGTAAGAGTCCACCTTGAGTTGGCCAAATGAGCCTTTTTTTGTCGAGAAATTGGACAGGTTAGCTCAAAACATCTACTAGAGGCCTAGTCGATACAGGTCGAAGTCAAACTATAGGAGACGATACAGGGTAACATCATCATTGCATGACATGGGAAATGCTTCCCTTTTAACATCAACATTGGATGAATCCACCAATCAAGAGGAAGTCATGATGACCTAAGGTACATGCCTAAGGCCCAGGTATCATGATGATACTGCCGCACCGAACTCTCCATCCAATCGAATCCTTTCGAGACCAATGGCACACAGACCTAAATCGGACACTGTAGCTTGACATAACTAGAGCGACAAGCCTATATTTGACAGCCTATATAAAGGGTTGAGTGTAATTTGAAAAAGGAGCGAGCTGTTCAAAATCTCTCCAACAAATAGCGTCCTTATTTTGCTTAGGTTACAGCAAATATAACGTTGCTTATTCTTTTCAAATCTTTATATGTTGATTAAGAAGTGCCACATTATTTTTTGTCATCAACACTAGTAATTGAATTTAAGCATGATAGTTGTCAACTATAATTGACTTGACCTTGGAGATTATTTTTCTTCGTTAGTTCCGGTACTGAATTTTTCCTAAACTTGAACTGTAAATTATGTATAACAAGTTCTTGCTCTATTTCTACAGTCTATTGATATGTCCTCAAATCACGATATGGAATGTAAATATAATAAGGAGTATTAAATGCTTGAAGTTGCATTTCTTTAGTTCCATTTGATGTGCTATTTGAGCTACAAGCCTACAACTAGGTATAGAATGGACGTTTCTAGTTTCATTACCTTCTTTTATTAATTTTGTTCTGCTGCTGAACATATCACATGCTTTCAGGTTAATTAATCCCATGCAATTGTTTTTTTTTAATGTACAAGTAGTAGAGGAAAATTACTTTTCATCAATCGTTAATATTTTTTTCACATCCATTTACAGGCAGCAATTTCTGCAACGTGGCTGTTTTGCTCAGCAATTCCGACGCTTCTGGTTTGTGATAAATTATTTTTTCTACTATATTTACTTCGTGATAAGTTCAGCTTTGGTAAATGGTTTGTGGGCTTGCTGTAATGAGGCAGTTGACTTTCAATGTTAGCCTGATTTTGGTAAAATTGAGATTTAATTTAGTTATTGATGTGGATATCATTCAGATTTTTTTTATTTTTCGTCAGAAGTGGTTTAAAATGGCTAATGAGTTGCATTATGGCATGTCTGGGTAAGCTGAAAAAATTTACGTACAAGTAATATAATGTTATGTATCAGTATATAAGTAGGATTTAATACATTTTCAATGATGAAAGTTTGAAATAATAAGTTAAAAAGGAAAAGAATCCAGTTTATTTGCAGCAAGAGAGGTTAATGTGCATTTATTTTTCTCTTGACATTTCTCGGTGTTTGATGATCACGTGGCTATTGAAGGCCTTTAAGAGAGCTGCAGAGTCACTGGAGAAGCTGATGGACGCTACGAGGGAGGAGCTCCCTGACACAATGGCTGCCATTCGATTATCTGGGATGGAGATCAGTGATTTAACGATGGAGCTCAGTGATCTTGGGTTAGTATAACAATATGGAGCTTCTACGCGTACCTAGTAAATTAAATGGAATATTGCATTATTGGTTCGTATTTCCCAAGTTATTGCCCCAGTAGTAAATCGGTCCTCAACTTTCTCCATGGTTGCACAATCAGTGTAAATGTGAAACTGTCCAAATCTTCATTAAATCTTCACCCGGCCAGCACAAGTTAGATTTTCTTTTCCAACTTGGACTGGGACTAGAAATTTGAAGTTCAACATGTTATGACGTCATACGATTATTAAAGATGGTGTTTGGACAGTTTTTGTCATTAGGGATTGTTTGTGGAACTAAAATAAAAGGTTGATGACGAAGTTCTTTTTTTAAAGGTTGGGAACTAAATTGCTGCTCGAACAATGTTTAGGGTACGAATAATGCGAAATATAAAATGTTGTTCTCATTTTACTGTACTACAGCCAAGAAATAACACAAGGCGTGAGAAGCTCCACTCGAGCTGTTCGCTTAGCAGAAGAAAGGTTGCGCCGGTTGACAAACATGAATCCATCAGGTTATTGAATTTACGTATAGGTATTATTTAATTTTTCTTTGCAAAACAATTAGGGTGATGATTTTCACTTCATCTTTACTTGATTAGTATCCCTGCAGGCGACAATCCCGCCAGGAACTGAGACAGTAGGACCAGCTCTAGCTAGAGCAGCGAGGGGTGCAAAGGATGGCATCGTTAAGGGTCGTGCAGTTTTGCAAATACTTTTTACTCTAACCAGATATTCCAGGGTACTTTTCGGCTACTTCACATCTCGAGCCAAGCATAATTCAACAGTATAAATTGAATCTGCCTTCCGTACATATGCTCAACTTGAATGATGATTCCGATATTGTCAGGCGATGCTCATCATTGGATCCTGTGGATAATAGAGACCTGATTGTCTTTCTTGCCTTTATTCTACAAATGTGAAAGATCTCTTTTTCTTCTTTTGTTTTCTTTCAGATTACCCATGTCTAGTGTGTCGATCACAAAATAATCTTGACAGATCTTGATTACAGTCGAGAGAATTGCTCGTATCTCAGTTGTTTTTGTTTTTTTGTTTAAATTGCGCCTCTTTTTAATGAGTACTCATCAAAAATATACCCTGATTTCATCTTACGCACTCTAGTTTTATGATCATATACCCTTCTAGCTTCATTAAGAATCGAATATAAATATTTACAAGAGTGATTGGTTTGAACAATATGAATATGATGATACAGGCTCGATCTCCTGCCACGACGATAGTAAAAAGTTTTTATCTTGTCCTCGGGGATAGGAGATCAATTCTGATGATGATTAATATATCTTTATTGTTAGTATAGCGTCCCGTGTTAGGTTGACATTGTCAAGTTGTTTGCTTCAACAAAGCCCACAAGCTCAACCAAGTATTCAGTTGCCAACTGCATTACCAGCACGTCAAGTGCTTAAAATGGTAGTTCAAAATTAAATCATTGTTGAATCTTTGTTTGGTGAACTGTCCACTGCCAAATGTTCTATTAGGGCTTTGGACTTGTTGTCTAATCTTTGTTTGGCAGGGTCGCCTGCAAAACGAAAGGGTAATTTCAATCCTTAGCTAAAGAATAATGTTATCTAACTTCGGTGATATTAAAGCAGCAATCTATTTGAGACTATGCGCATGTCTAGTGGCGCTTTTCTTCTAATTTTAATGAATATTCAGATCGTTATACAGAGGAAAAGCTGCATAAGTTGAATATGAAATTCCAGCCGCAATTGTTGAAAAAAAAAAACCTGCAACCATCATTTTTATATCAAAATAACTTTTATGCCCCTATAACATTACATTCGTTCTATCTTTGTAAGGGCTATCTAGTAATTCAATTATAAAAAAGACAGATGAGGGGCCCTTTTTTTCTTTCTTTCTTTTTTTTTTATTTTTTATTTTTTATTTTTATATTTTTAAAGTATAGTTGCCGCAGTCATTTCATCGTCAACATATGCAGCTTCTCCCTCATTCGCCGTATAACGGTATGAAAATCCATAAAAATTATATGAAAAGTACCATCAGAGATAGATTCAATTAAATATGAAATTGCGTGATTCATGTAATTATACATTTCATTTAATGATACTTAAAATGATGTTTTAATACTAATGATATTAAATAGCATTACTCTTAACTAAACGAATGTGTTCAACCTAGGTACCTTTCAAATGGGCTGCCCTATTTGACACGACTACATATGTATGATTATGTTTGAGCACACATGCACAAGTCTTAGTGTGTGTTTGTGCATAAAGAGAGTGATAGATTTTAAATCTAGATTTCCAGATTTGAAAGGAATTTATTTTAGTCCTTTCATAAATTTATTCACGTTGAATCAAAGAGAACAAAATGAAAGTGGAAGCGTACCTTGATCTATAATTGTAATTGATTTTGAATAGGTTACAATCTTCCAATTGATTCGTGATTTTCCTTTTGAATTTTTGAAATAACTCACTGTTGATGGGGATGCAGAGGTTATGAGAAAATCACGTCAATTAGGGGCTATGACCCCATGATAAATAACTACTAGGCAATCATCATCTTTTATTTGTTTTAAATTGGCCCCTCATCAATTTAAAACAACTACCTGGCCTTTACACTTTAATTCCATAACAATTGATACTCATTAGTCCAAAATTAAATTAATTACATCACTTTAATGGACTAAAAATACAAGATAGCAAGGTACACTTTAATCATATACATGTGTGGCCCCAATTGTTAAATTTTTTCCAACAGAGAGTGCTTGCATCAATCTTCATTTTCGAGTTTTCCGTTGTTTGAGCTCTCGCATCTGGAATCTAAGCCGAAACATTTGAAAAGAGCTTGTTTAAGTAGTCCGAGATAGTTACAAGCGTGGTTTGGATCTCTAAAAAGCCCAAAAAATGTAGAATCATTCAATGAAGATTCTTCGCATTCTTCAACTTCAACCATTGCCCGTCTGCTTGTTCCCGCAACTCTCTTAATTCTTCGGTTTTCATTTACCTGCTAGGATAAAATTTTAAACATTCTCTTCCCTACCGAAATTGTAAATATATTTATAAAAGTAACATGTTCAAACAATAATCCACATCTTTCGAAATAGAGTCGTAGGATATGCATTCAAGAAGTTCGTGATGTCGGTTCTCAGTGGCAAATAGTCAATCTTAGAAACTGAATATGATCATTAATCAAACCTAACAATAATTCTTACTAGTCACCTTTAATATGCAAATGATCATAACTTGACAATGTCAACTTGCCAACAACTCAATTATACCCCAATCAAATATAAATATAACTCAATTACCGACCCCACGTAACCGCAACAATACTTATTCCTAATAAATTTGAGATCAGCTTCATGTATTATTTTCCGTCACTTCTTTCAATTCATTTGAAACATCAAGAAGTATGTATTCTTTAGTAACTATAACAAAACACCTTAAAATTTGGACTATCCCGCCAACTCTTGACCAACTCTATGCCCCATTTGGTAGCAATTTTTCAATTCGAAAAATCAAATTTTTTTATCATTATTTTATTATTTCAACCATCATTTTTCACTTCTTCACTCACAAGTGGGACCCACTTCTCTTTAACGATCAAAAAATCAATTCTCATACCATATATCTACGTAGAACATGTCCCAACTTGCAACTGCCTAATTCGACAATCCCATAATTTATCCTCCTACAACTACATAATTTGGGACTAAAATATCCTTTTTTTCCCCTTGTGCTTCTCTTGGATCTTATGATTCTAAGGAACAAATACATGACGATTTCAATGCTTTCCCATTTTAATTTTCTTACCAAACATCTAACAGAAAAAAATAAATAAGTTTATTAAATTTTCTCTAGAAAAAGAAAATAAACTCAGTCCCTGACAGAAAATAGTTGATAAAGGAAATAATTAAACTGACCTTGGTTCTTTGTGAAGAGCTAGTTGAAGGTGCAGCTGATGTCGTAGTGATGGAAGGATTTTGGGAGAAATCTGAAGTAAAAATGTTGAATCCAAAGAAAATAAGGATTATGAAAAGAATCGTAACAAGAAGATGGATCCATATTTGCCATGAGATTTTGTAGCTTTCGATTATCAACTCATCACCAAAGTCAAGCATGGCTTTCTCTTTTTTCCCCTCCCACTATATCTATATCTATAGACTATGTATGTAAAAATGTTGCAGAAAGAAGGAAAAAGAGCAAAATGATTTGAGGATTCGATGACGAATTAGGGGAAAAGAATGAAGGATTCACAGTACAAAAAATTTTGATGGAAAGCAAAAGATCATGGAGAACAGTTTTTGATGCTGACTGAATAATTTGTGTTGGGCCTGTTTGTTTCTAGTCTGTATAGTTAAATCTTTCATTATCACTTACATATCCGGCACGCTTTGTTCACTCAACTTTAAAATTATTTCGAGTGAGCATTAAACCTTGAAACATAGCACTTCATCATTAATTTACCATGTTTCATTAGCAACTGAACTTATACCTTCGTCACACTTTACTCACTCAACTTTAAAAGACTTTAAAAATTTAAATACTATACACGAAAACGATGCCCATTTTTCTTAAATTACCTTGTGACAATTTAAAAGCTTTTAAAATTGAGTGAGTAAAGCATAATGGAGGTATAAGTTCAGTGATTAATGAAACATGGTGAGTGATGGAGTGGGACGATTTTAATTTTAGTGACCATTTGAAAGCATTTCAAGGTTTAGTAACTAATGAAACATAGTAGAGAAGTGATAGAGTGCAATGGTCAAAGTTTAGCAATCACTTGAGAGCATTTTAAAGTTCAGTGATTTATGAAATATGGTGATGAGTGATGAAGTGCAACCTATTAACATTTAGTAAAAAAACTGTATAGGTGAGTGGATATCTAGAGATACAAGACATTTCAACCTGAAAATTTTGACGCTTCTCTCTTCCCTTTTTACTTTCCATGATAAGCCAACAACATCAGAAGGACCATTGGCCTCATAATCTCTCATCTTTCTCTTTCCAACGATTTGAGACTTGAGTAACAAGATGAGTTCTGGTTCAAAGATGATGGGTGAGATACAGGAAGTAACTTATAACCCAAAAGGTTTAAAGTTTTCACAAGAGTTTATTACCGTACGAGACTTCGGTATTTACTGAATTTCTACAGAAAAGGTTCATTCACATTGTACTTTTTGGGTTTTGCTGGTGATCAAGCCTCAAAATGACGTTCTTTTCATTTTTTCACGCTCTTCCGTACAAAGTGAGTTGATGAGTAAAAGGTTAAGGGAGAACACATATGGGAAAAATTAATTTTTTAACAATTTTCACCATTCTAGTTGTTGGGGCCTATCTAAAATCCACGTTGAATTAAGTAAGAGTCCACCTTGAGTTGGCCAAATGAGCCTTTTTTTGTCGAGAAATTGGACAGGTTAGCTCAAAACATCTACTAGAGGCCTAGTCGATACAGGTCGAAGTCAAACTATAGGAGACGATACAGGGTAACATCATCATTGCATGACATGGGAAATGCTTCCCTTTTAACATCAACATTGGATGAATCCACCAATCAAGAGGAAGTCATGATGACCTAAGGTACATGCCTAAGGCCCAGGTATCATGATGATACTGCCGCACCGAACTCTCCATCCAATCGAATCCTTTCGAGACCAATGGCACACAGACCTAAATCGGACACTGTAGCTTGACATAACTAGAGCGACAAGCCTATATTTGACAGCCTATATAAAGGGTTGAGTGTAATTTGAAAAAGGAGCGAGCTGTTCAAAATCTCTCCAACAAATAGCGTCCTTATTTTGCTTAGGTTACAGCAAATATAACGTTGCTTATTCTTTTCAAATCTTTATATGTTGATTAAGAAGTGCCACATTATTTTTTGTCATCAACACTAGTAATTGAATTTAAGCATGATAGTTGTCAACTATAATTGACTTGACCTTGGAGATTATTTTTCTTCGTTAGTTCCGGTACTGAATTTTTCCTAAACTTGAACTGTAAATTATGTATAACAAGTTCTTGCTCTATTTCTACAGTCTATTGATATGTCCTCAAATCACGATATGGAATGTAAATATAATAAGGAGTATTAAATGCTTGAAGTTGCATTTCTTTAGTTCCATTTGATGTGCTATTTGAGCTACAAGCCTACAACTAGGTATAGAATGGACGTTTCTAGTTTCATTACCTTCTTTTATTAATTTTGTTCTGCTGCTGAACATATCACATGCTTTCAGGTTAATTAATCCCATGCAATTGTTTTTTTTTAATGTACAAGTAGTAGAGGAAAATTACTTTTCATCAATCGTTAATATTTTTTTCACATCCATTTACAGGCAGCAATTTCTGCAACGTGGCTGTTTTGCTCAGCAATTCCGACGCTTCTGGTTTGTGATAAATTATTTTTTCTACTATATTTACTTCGTGATAAGTTCAGCTTTGGTAAATGGTTTGTGGGCTTGCTGTAATGAGGCAGTTGACTTTCAATGTTAGCCTGATTTTGGTAAAATTGAGATTTAATTTAGTTATTGATGTGGATATCATTCAGATTTTTTTTATTTTTCGTCAGAAGTGGTTTAAAATGGCTAATGAGTTGCATTATGGCATGTCTGGGTAAGCTGAAAAAATTTACGTACAAGTAATATAATGTTATGTATCAGTATATAAGTAGGATTTAATACATTTTCAATGATGAAAGTTTGAAATAATAAGTTAAAAAGGAAAAGAATCCAGTTTATTTGCAGCAAGAGAGGTTAATGTGCATTTATTTTTCTCTTGACATTTCTCGGTGTTTGATGATCACGTGGCTATTGAAGGCCTTTAAGAGAGCTGCAGAGTCACTGGAGAAGCTGATGGACGCTACGAGGGAGGAGCTCCCTGACACAATGGCTGCCATTCGATTATCTGGGATGGAGATCAGTGATTTAACGATGGAGCTCAGTGATCTTGGGTTAGTATAACAATATGGAGCTTCTACGCGTACCTAGTAAATTAAATGGAATATTGCATTATTGGTTCGTATTTCCCAAGTTATTGCCCCAGTAGTAAATCGGTCCTCAACTTTCTCCATGGTTGCACAATCAGTCTAAATGTGAAACTGTCCAAATCTTCATTAAATCTTCACCCGGCCAGCACAAGTTAGATTTTCTTTTCCAACTTGGACTGGGACTAGAAATTTGAAGTTCAACATGTTATGACGTCATACGATTATTAAAGATGGTGTTTGGACAGTTTTTGTCATTAGGGATTGTTTGTGGAACTAAAATAAAAGGTTGATGACGAAGTTCTTTTTTTAAAGGTTGGGAACTAAATTGCTGCTCGAACAATGTTTAGGGTACGAATAATGCGAAATATAAAATGTTGTTCTCATTTTACTGTACTACAGCCAAGAAATAACACAAGGCGTGAGAAGCTCCACTCGAGCTGTTCGCTTAGCAGAAGAAAGGTTGCGCCGGTTGACAAACATGAATCCATCAGGTTATTGAATTTACGTATAGGTATTATTTAATTTTTCTTTGCAAAACAATTAGGGTGATGAATTTCACTTCATCTTTACTTGATTAGTATCCCTGCAGGCGACAATCCCGCCAGGAACTGAGACAGTAGGACCAGCTCTAGCTAGAGCAGCGAGGGGTGCAAAGGATGGCATCGTTAAGGGTCGTGCAGTTTTGCAAATACTTTTTACTCTAACCAGATATTCCAGGGTACTTTTCGGCTACTTCACATCTCGAGCCAAGCATAATTCAACAGTATAAATTGAATCTGCCTTCCGTACATATGCTCAACTTGAATGATGGTTCCGATATTGTCAGGCGATGCTCATGATTGGATCCAGTGGATAATAGAAACCTGATTGTCTTTCTTGCTTTTATTCTACAAATGTGAAAGATCTCTTTTTCTTCTTTTGTTTTCTTTCAGATTACCCATGTCTAGTGTGTCGATCACAAAATAATCTTGACGATCTTGATTACAGTCGAGAGAATTGCTCGTATCTCAATTGTTTTTGTTTTTTGTTTAAATTGCGCATTTTTATATACCCTGATTTCATCTTACGCACTCTAGTTTTATGATCATATACCCTTCTAGCTTCATTAAGAATCGAATATAAATATTTACAAGAGTGATTGGTTTGAACAATATGAATATGATGATACAGGCTCGATCTCCTGCCACGACGATAGTAAAAAGTTTTTATCTTGTCCTCGGGGATAGGAGATCAATTCTGATGATGATTAATATATCTTTATTGTTAGTATAGCGTCCCGTGTTAGGTTGACATTGTCAAGTTGTTTGCTTCAACAAAGCCCACAAGCTCAACCAAGTATTCAGTTGCCAACTGCATTACCAGCACGTCAAGTGCTTAAAATGGTAGTTCAAAATTAAATCATTGTTGAATCTTTGTTTGGTGAACTGTCCACTGCCAAATGTTCTATTAGGGCTTTGGACTTGTTGTCTAATCTTTGTTTGGAAGGGTCGCCTGCAAAACGAAAGGTAATTTCAATCCTTAACTAAAGAATAATGTTATCTAATTTCAGTGATGTTAAAGTATGCGTCTGTCCAGTGACACTTTTCTTCTAATTTTAATGAATATCGAGACCGTTATACAGAGGAAAAGTTGCATACGTTGAATATGAAATTCCAGCCGCAATTGTTGAAAAAAAAAAAAAAAAATGCAACTATCATTTTTTTATCAAAATAACTAATATGCCCGTGTAACATTACATTTGTTCTATCTTTGCAAGGGCTATCTTGTAACGCCCCGATCCTTTGTGGATCGGAATGCTACTTATTTTACTTAACTAATCGGTGGTTTAGTCATAGGAGAATATGTTTTAGCGGAAGCTTAATTTTTACAATGATAATTTTAACAACAACCTCTCGAATATTTTAAATAAAACACTGAATAAAAAAATAACGAAACCAAATGTATTTGAAGAAAACACAACTTGTTCTTGCGTTCAGCGTTATTCAAATACTTTAAAGAAACAACATTGAAAACGTTCACAAAATAAATCTAAATAACTTGTTCACCGAGTTTTTCCATGGGCTCGTTGCACCACTCTACATCTTTTCCATCATCCAGGCCCAAGGTAGAATTATATCAATCTGTCGAGAAGGGGTTAAACCCGTGAGTTAAAAAAACTCAATAGATATCATTGGTGCATTCATGATCAAGCTATACATTTCAAAGCTGTAACTTTAGAAACTTTTTCATAGTAGGATTTTCGGTAGAATCTCAAACACGTAGAGTCATGATTTAACACGACACCTCGACCGGAAGTACATGCCGTACCCGGAGGTACCATTAGACATACAAACATTAACATAAATCTTCATTTGCTAGAAACTTATAACTTAACATGAATTAACACTTTGCACCTCTACCTACCTTGATTGATACTTTGAACCTTGTTGAAAAATACATTCTTTTGATGTTTAAAAAAAAACACTCCGTTGAGAATTGATATTTGGAAAACACTTCTTGATAGCACCAAAACTTCTAGGAAAAACTAATTTTCCGCCCTCTCCTTTCTCTTTTTTCTAGATTTGAAAACTCTTTCTTTTATGCTTAGAAACTTTTGTCTTGATGTGAAAAATGTGTATGCATTAAGGCTTATTTATAGGTGAAAATCTCACAACTTAAGGGCAAGTGAAGGGTCTAATACTTATTAGTACGGGTGCCATTTATGTGGGAGTTATAGGTTTAAGAAGGTGCTAGAAAATCGTGTAGGAATTTGACTTTTCATATTCCGCGTACTTCGGTTGATACTGTAAAGTTTTTAGTATTTCTATCATAACTTCTTCTCTCGATATCCGATTGAGGTAATTCAAAGTGCGTTGGAAAGCTAACTCAAAGAGCTACAACTTTTCTTTAAATATTATTTTTCAAATCGAATGTTTTCTATGTCGTAAATGGGTCTCAAATAAAACTAAAAATCTGAAGTATACTTTAGCCATCCAATATTTATGTCTTAGTGTCACTAAGGTATTTAAAATTATTTAGGTTTCTACATATCTAGTAATTCAATTATAAAAAAGACAGCTGAGTGCCCTTTTTTTTTTTTTTTTGTAAGTATAATTGCGGCAGTCATTTCATGGTCAACATATGCAGCTTCTCCCTCATTCACCATATAACTGTGTGAAAATCCATAAAAATTATATGAAAAGCACCATCAGACAAGCGCTCTGATAGATTCAATTAAATATGAAATTGCGTGATTCATGTAATTATACATTTCATTTAATGACACTTAAATCTATGTTTTAATACTAATGGTATTAAATACCATTACTCTTAACTAAACTCAACCTAGGCACATTTCAAATGGGTTGACCTGCTTGACACCACTACATATGTATGATTATGTTTGAGCACACATGCACAAGTCTTAGTGCGTGTTTGTGCACAAAGAGAGTGTTTACATCAATCTTCATTTTCGAGTTTTCCGTTGTTTGAGCTCTCGCATCTGGAATCTAAGCCGAAACACTTGAAAAGAGCTTGTTTAACTAGCCCGAGATAGTTGCAAGGTTGCTTTGGATGTCTAAAAAGCCTAAAAAATATAGAATCATTCAATGAAGATTCTTCACATTCTTCGACTTCTACTATTGTTCGTCCACTTGTTCCAGCATCTCTCTTAATTCTTCGGTTTTCATTTACCTGCTAAGATAAAATTTAAATTTAAACATTCTATTCCCTACCGAAATTGTAAATTTATTTATAAAAGTAACATGTTCAAACAATAATTCACATCTTTCGAAAAAGAGTCACAGGATATGCATCCAAGAAGTTCGTGATGTCAGTTCTCAGTGGCAAATAGACGATCTTAGAAACTGAATATGATCGTTAATCAAACTTAACAGTAATTCTTACTAGTCACCTTTAATATGCAAATCAACATAACTTGCATTCTAAATATAACAATGTCAACTTGCCAACAACTCAATTATAACCCAATCAAATATAAATATAACTCAATTTCCGACCCCACGTAACCGCAACAATACTTATTCCTAATAAATTTGAGATCAGCTTCATGTATTATTTTCCGTCACTTCTTTCAATTCATTTGAAACATCAAGAAGTATGTAATCTTGAGTAACTAGAACAAAACACCTTAAAATTTGGACCAGCCCGCCAACTCTTGATCAAATCTATGCCCCATTTGGTAGCAATTTTTCAATCCGAAAAATCAATTTTTTTTATCATTATTTTATTATTTTAACTGTTATTTTTCATTTCCTCACTCACAAGTGGAACCCGCTTATCTTTAACGATCAAAAAATCAATTCTCATACTCTATATCTACGTAGAACATGTCCCAACTTGCAACTGCCTAATTCGACAATCCCATAATTTATCCTCCTACAACTACATAATTTGGGACTAAAATATCCTTTTTTTCCCCTTGTGCTTCTCTTGGATCTTATGATTCTAAGGAACAAATACATGACGATTTCAATGCTTTCCCATTTTAATTTTCTTCCCAAACATCTAACAGAAAAAAAAATAATAATAAGTTTATTAAATTTCTCTAGAAAAAGAAAATAAACTCAGTCCCTGACAGAAAATAGTTGATAAAGGAAATTATTAAACTGACCTTGGTTCTTTGCGAAGAGCTAGTTGAAGGCGGAGCTGATGTCGTAGTGGTGGAAGGATTTTGGGAGAAATCTGAAGTAAAAATGTTGAATCCAAAGAAAATAAGGATTATGAAAAGAATCGTAACAAGAAGATGGATCCATATTAGCCATGAGATTTTGTAGCTCTCGATTATCAACTCATCACCAAAGTCAAGCATAGCTTTCTCTTTTTTCCCCTCCCACTATATCTATATCTATAGACTATGTATGTAAAAATGTTGCAGAAAGAAGGAAAAAGAGCAAAATGATTTGAGGATTCGATGACGAATTAGGGGAAAAGAATGAAGGATTCACAGTACAAAGAATTTTGATGGAAAGCAAAAGATCATGGAGAACAGTTTTTGATGCTGACTGAATAATTTGTGTTGGGCCTGTTTGTTTCTAGTCTGTATAGTTAAATCTTTCATTATCACTTACATATCCGGCACGCTTTGTTCACTCAACTTTAAAATTATTTCGAGTGATCACTAAACCTTGAAACATTGCACTTCATCATTCCTTCACCATTGATAAGTGTGTTTTTGCACACTTATTTACATCACAAACATGATTTAAATACAAATAAAATGATTGAATTGTTACTTAACTTTGTCAAATTCATGCAATGTAGGAAATTCTATGGAAATAGCGGAATTCAGGAGAAAAGAGCCGAAAAAGGACCAAATTGGAGCAAAATGAAAATTCAGGGACCAAATTGCAATTATTTGAAAGTTGACCCGATGAACACATCAAGCAATTGATCAAGCCAAGCACCAATTGGAAGTTATAAGGGAACATTGGAGCAACTAGGAACAAGAGAGGAGGTCAAGGAGTGAAGGAATGAAACTTGAGGACCAAAATGACTCAAACTAGAAGTTAGCTCTGCTATGCGGTCGCATAGTATAAAACCTATGCGGTCGCGAGTGAACCTCCAGGGATTAAAAATGCCATTTTTCTTATGCCTATACGGTCGCATAGGTATAATTTTTCCCCGATTTTTGCAATTTCCTTATATGATTGCAATTCCTTTGATAACCTAATTTGGACGGGTTTAAATAGCAACAAAACATCCAGAAGCCGGACGAACGAATTGGGAGGCAAAAACATCCATCTTGGAGTGGATTTGAAGGCAAGAACAAGAATTGGTGCGAGATTTACAAGATTTCTTCAAGTTTTGATAACCCGGTGATGTATTTTATTCATACTTTGTTAGATTTTGTTATTTTTATCATGATAGGCTAGATTTCTGCAACTAGGTGATCGATGAACCATGTAATTATTATTGAACTTGTTATTTCATGATTTTGAATTATTAGTTCAATGGGATATTTGAATGGATTATATTGCTTTGTTTATTTCCACAATTAATGTGCACTTAATTTGTGTGAACTTGGTAGTTTAATTCTGAATTTGAGAAAGTTAGATTAAACTCGAAATATATAATTCATCATAGGGTTCGATAGGGGATAGAAATATACCCCTATGCCCTATGTAAATCTTTAATAGCTCATAAAAAGATTATATGCGTTCTTGTATAATTGCATCCGTCATAGAGATATAGACTGATGATTTATGAGAATAGGTTCAATACATCTCGAGAGAGAGTATTGAATAGATTTAGGAGTATTGATTTGTCAAATTCTTATTGAATTATCAAAATTGTGAAATTAGGGTTTAATTAGTAATTATGTGGGGATTCGTGGTCCTAGTGCATTCGTTTTACATAGATTTTCATAAATTGACAATACATTTCATTTAATTTTCATAACATTTCGTAATTGAGTCATTCGTTAAGTGAATTTAAGTAATTAGGGTTTGATTTGAAATTAGGGTTTTTCAACTTGGGGATTTCTCCTAAAATTAGGGCTTTTGATTTCAAAATTCATTCTAATTCAATTAGTTTCGATTAAGGCTAAAATAAATAAAATTGAACTACTCTTTCTCTGTGGGACGATACTCGGACTTCTAAAGTCCACTTTATTACTTGTCACGACCCGTACACTTGCGGTAATTTAAATCGAAAGAAATATTTCGCGAACAACCATGTTTCATTAGCAACTAAACTTATATCTTTGTCACACTTCACCCACTCAACTTTAAAAGACTTCAAAAGTTTGAATACTATACACGAAAACGATGCTCTTTTTTCTTAAATTACCTTGTGAGAACTTAAAAGCTTTTAAAGTTGAGTGAGTAAAGCATATTGGAGGTACAAGTTCAGTGATTAATGAAAAATGGTGAGTGATGGAGTGAGACGATTTTAATTTTAGTGACCATTCGAAAGCATTTTAAGATTCAGTAACTAATGAAACATAGTAGAGAAGTGACAAAGTGCAATTGTCAAAGTTTAACAATCACTCAAGAGCATTTTAAATTTCAGTGATTTATGAAATACGATGGTGAGTGATGAAGTGCAACATATTAAAATTTAGTGACCACTTCGATGTATTTTAAAGTACAATGAGTAAAGTGTAACGGATGTAAAAGTTCAGTGATTAATGAAACATTTAACTCAGTTTGTATTATTTGTTTGTGCACGTGAGTTGTGTTAACATTATTTGGAAATTTGCAATGTTGGCTTCTGAAACAACTAAGAAATGACCTCTGGACTTTTTGGGCAGAGTAAGGTGATTTCTGCTACTCTGGTGAACAAATTAATACCCGCAAAAAGATGCTTGGACTTTCTCTCCCATTGTATCTTTAGCGTGAAAATCAGTGATTTGGTTGTAGACGAATGACTTAAAAAAAGAGAGAACACTAGTGCAACTCGCCCACTCACTAAGTGATTTTCGTTCCCATGTTGAGCAGCTAGCCTCCGTACACGAATTGGACGATGGGATGAATGATAATCGTTAAACAATTTTTGATCAACTAAAAAGATGTTCAAGTGATTGAGAATTATAATAGTCGATCTGTTATAATGTTAGTCAGATCAGCATAGCAGTAGACGAACCAGAAAAGCGATAGATAGGCAAGTGTAGCGGTCAATGGACCAACATAGTGATAGACGGGCTGGCAAGTAGTCTTCTAGCATAGCAAGAGTCATCTAGCATAGCATAAGTTGCCTTCACTCAATTGGGCATTGTAGAATATTACTCACATCATATAGCATTGCTTTCTAATTTATAGTCGAGTTACAAATTGATTCTTAAACTTTCAAAAAAGAATAATTTGCCCTAAACTTTTTTAACTATTATTGTACAATGAATCTTTAATGCCCACAATTTCGCTTCAATCATAGGTATGATTTAGGCTCCATGTCAAGAGAAATGTTTTATCATCCCAGAAGAGAAAAAATTGGAATCCTTATCTAATGAAATGTGTTGATAGATAAGTAACTCTTACTGCCGCTATATGGAATCGTACCTAAGATTTTCACCTCATACGATTCTTCATTCAATTCTTTTGAATTCATTGAGTTGAAGACTAGGAAGACAAATAATCCCTTCTAGAATTATTTGCTCCTCGTTTACTTATGCTAATATCTAGTTCAATGAGAAATTAGGGATGAACATAGAAATACTAAAAAAGAATTATTTTTCTTTGCAATTGCATCTATTTTTAGAATTAAAAAGTGTTCTTAGTTTGATTCAGTAGACCATTAGTCTATTGAACTAAAGTGCGGTCCTGATCCCAAACCCATCCAACCTAGTGTTTGGTTGTTATAGAAGTTGGGAAAGTTGGCAGTTATATGTACTTTGAACTTCTGATGCATTTGCCTCGTTCACTTCTATGCCTATACAAAATTACACTATATAGAATAAGGGAGTTAGAGAGAGATCTCAACCTAGTGAGAGAAAGTCCCACTTGGTGCACACTTGCCTTGAGACATTTCTGGTGATTTTCTTATGTTTTAGTTCGATTTTTACTAATCTTTGGATGAAAAGTGAATTAAAACATATTGTTTTTTTAACTTGGTCTTTCTCAATTCTGGTTTTTGGAGAGCACTCAGTTTGTTTTGTTCAGTTTGCATGGCTCCATAGTTGTTGTTTTGGTTTTCTGCTCAGCTTCGATTTCTTCCATTGCAGCTTTCTGCCTTGCTGTTTTCTCTTGGTTTCTCTTGGATATCTCTTGTTCGAGAGTGTGGTACTTAACGCCTGCTGTTCTCGGTCCAGTATTTACTGCATTTTTGTTTCCGTTCATCCATATGGGTTTTGTTCTTTGGTTTTATTCCAGTCAGCTTTTGCGTGGCTTTGACTTTGGTTGTTATTGCTAGAGTTTTGGTTTTGTGGTGGACCGCTCTGTCTTCTCTTTCAGCTTGGTTTGTTACTCTTTGGTTGTTGATTTTCTAGGTTCCATGTTCTATCTTCGATCTGCTGTAGGCGTTCTTCAGGTTGAAGACATGTATGTATTGTGTATGTATCCAGCTAGTTAACAAATTTTGAATTCTCAGTCCTTCGTCCACTCTGCCCCCTTTCTTTCTTCTGATGTTCGGCTGTGGTTAGTGTGCTGCTTTCTGCTGACTTGGGGATTTTGCAAATTCTTCTTCTGTGCTTGCAGGTTTTGGTAGTCCTTTAGCAAATTGTTTCTGGCTCCTTTGGGTTGTTGTTGACCCGTTTCTAGTATCTGGCCATTGTACTTTGGGTAGTCTTTTTCTGGGTTGCTGGACTTCTTTTTGTCCAGGCCCTTTTCCACTTCTTTTGAGTTGGGTTTTATTTGGTTTTTCTGGGCTGGTCCTTATCCTTGCTGGGCTCCTGTTCTTAGTTAATTTTTAGGGTCCTCTCGGCCAATTTGGGCCCCTTTTGTCTTGTGTTTTGCTATGGGAAAGAAGAAAGGTGGTACTCCTTTTTCTGGGCTGGCCCCCCCCTTAAACCCAAGCCTGCACGATAGTCTCTTGCTATAGGGGCGGTGAAACATCTTCAAAGATCAATTTGGTGGAGAACAAAATGGTAATTCTGCCCTCACCTAGTGTTTCTTTAACTCTTTGTGAAAATGATACAGGTTATGAGCAATCTGACTTTGAATCAAATTCAGTAAAATTGATGAATCAAAGTAATGGCCATGATGTCGGTATTGATGGTGTAACAGAAAATAAAGCTTCATGGGTAAATCTTTTTAAAGACAATAGGAAATTGGAGGAAAATATCATGTTGAAACCTTTTGATAATCAATCGGATGAAGTTGTGTTGGGTGAATTAGATGAAGATAACATTGAGAATTCGTGGGGATACGATCTTGTTGGATATTTCGCCTGTAGGTTTCTGAGAAAAATGACACTTCTTCAATTATGTGATTCATGGAAGATTGATTATAAATATTATGTGCAAGCGAGTGGTTGGTTGGTATTCAAATTTGATTCGGATGTGGATAGGCTAAGGGTGTTGCATGGGGGTCCATACTTAGTATATGGAAGACCGTTAATGCTATCATGCCATGTTACTTTGACTTTGATGATAAAGATGTGAGTACTATGCCGGTTTGGATAAACCTACCGGAGTTGCCTTTAGAATTTTAGGACACGAATGCCTTGGGTAAAATTGTTTCCAAGGTTGGAAAACCTATTTCAATTGACAAAGTTATGGCAAATAAAGGTCGACTATCCTATGCAAGAGCTCTAGTTGAAGTTGATGCTTCTATTGAACTTGTACGGGAGGTAAAGATTTGGCTCCCAAATGGCACGTTGAGGGAACAAGAAATTATTTTTGAGCATGAACCAAAATTTTGTGGTTCTTGTAAAGTGTTCGGTCATTCCGCTCTTAGTTGCAACAATAAACATGCCGGGGGTGGAAAAGCTAAATAAAAAAATGTGGGGTCTTCTAATGCCCCCATACGGGATACAAAAGGGGCAAAAGTGCAGGCGGGTAAATCTAGTCCTACATCTAATTCACAGCGTCTTCCAGTTGAGACAGCTTGTTGCTTGAAAGGACTTGGTGCACAGGAAAGTGGAGTCTCGATTGAGCATGAAGTGCAGCATCCGAACAGGAAAAATGAGCACTTACAACCTCAAGTTGTGGATGTCTAGTAGGGGGAAAAATTTGGGCCAGTATGAGAACCCTTTTGTGGAGGTTGTTAGCAAGAAAAATCGGCCAGTTTCTAGGAAAAAATTGTACGTGATGGTCCTTCAAAATCTAGGCCAAATTCTTCTTCAAACCTCATACAGGTAGAATCAAACAAATTTAGAAACGAAAAGCCCAAGGGTAAGGTTGCAGAACAAGGGAAACCGAGAACAAAAGTTGACAAGAAGAAGGGTACATCCCTTACTTCAACATCATGAAGATCGCATCTTGGAATATTAGGGGTATGAATTTCCCCTAAAACAAAATGGGATTCGGGATTTTATTAAGCAACATTGCATTGATATTATGGGTATTTTGGAGATGAAGTAGGATGATCGAAATTTCAAGAGGATTTTGCGGAATAAATTTGAAAGTTTCATGCATGTAAACAACTTTTGCACTCATAGAGCCGGGCGGATCTTGATCTTGTGGAATCCATCCAAAGTGTTATTGGATGTGATGGAGGTTCACCCACAAATCATCCATTGTGAAGCTACTTGCAAGGTAACATCGTATACCTTTCTTGTTAGTTTCGTTTATGGATTTCATATTATGGTTAATCGGAGGCCACTTTGGAACAACATCATGGATTTTAACGCTAATGTCTCGTTGCCTTGGATGATTCTTGGTGACTACAACAATGTACTTAAATTTGATGAGAAATGTAATGGTGCGGAGGTAAGCCCTTATGAAATTAAGGATTTTGCAAATTGTTGCCTTCATGTGGGTCTTACGGATGTGCGCTCCATTTGTTATTATTACACGTTGACTAATAATTCGGTTTGGGGCAAAATTGATAGGGCAACGGTGAATGATATCTGGGTACAAAATGTGGTATATGTTCATGCTAATTTCCTACCCTTCAGATGTCTCTCCAACCACTCCCCATGCATTATTTCTATTCATGACCGTGTTGGGGGCTTTAAAAAATCTTTCAAGTTTTTTAACATGTGGACTAAGTATGAGGACTTCCATGAACTTGTTCAAGCTTGCTGAAATTTTTATGTGAGGGGGACAAAGCAATTCATCATTTACAAAAAGTTGAGCAAACTAAAGGATGCTTTGGAGGAGCTTAATATTAAGCATTTTGGGCACATTTCGACTAGGACAAATGAGGCTAAAAGTGAATTGGAGGCTGCCAATTACAACTTCATAATTAGCCCATGAATGAACATTTTCAACTTATGGTCGCTAAATTGAGGAAGAAAGTCGTTGGTTTATGTGAAGCGGAACGTAGTTTTTATTATCAAAAAGCAAAGTGCACATTCCTTAAGCAAAGTGATAAATGTACAAATTTCTTTCACTCGGTGGTTAAAAAGAACTCAAGGAGGAACTTTATAGCTATTATACTCAAAGAGGATGGGACGTATACTATATCGCAAGATCAAGTTGCTACGGAATTTGTGAAATTCTACACTACTTTCCTGGGAAAAAACTGCCCAAATCGGCCTATTGAGTTGGAAATTGTTAGAAACGATCCTTTGGTTTCATTGGAACAATGTAACTCTTTGATTCAGGACATTTCTTATGAGGAAATAAAAAAAAGCAATCTTTGGTATTGGAGATGAAAAGTCCCCCGGGCTAATGTTTATACTTCTTGTTTTTTAAGAATGCATAGGGGACTATTACTGATGATTTTGTTGGAGCTATGATGGAGTTCTCTTCGGGTTCCATCCTCAAACAAACCAACCACATGGTCATTGCTTTGGTCTCTAAATCTGGCCACACGCCGTATGTTGGGGATTATAGGCCTATCTCTTGTTGTAATGTTACTTACAAAGTGATAGCTAAAATTCTTGCTTCTAGATTGAGACCTATTTTAGGTAATATTGTGGACCATGCACAAGCCACTTTCGTGGAAGGTAGGAGTATCACGAAAAAAATCCATCTTGCCCTAGAACTTATGAGGCAATACAATAGGAAAAGGGTTGCTCCAAGATGCCTCTTAAAAATTGATCTTACGAAAGCTTAAGACTCGGTAAGTTGGGATTTCCTTAAAGAAGTTCTTGAAGGGTTGCACTTCCCCTCGAGATTTGTAAATTGGGTCATGGAATGTGTTACTTGTCCAACATATTCCGTTGCTTTAAATGGGAGTATGCATGCTTTCTTCAATGGAGGGAAAAGCCTCCAGCAAGGTGATCCTCTTTCCCTCTTTTTGTTCGTGCTTTGTATTGAATATTTCTCAAGATTGCTTAAAGCAGCCACGAATGATAGTGATTTCAATTATCACCCTAAATGTGGCCCCTCTAAAGATCACCCATTTAGCTTTTGCGGATGATTTGATGCTCTTTGCTATGGGAGATATTATGTCGGTGAAAATTCTCATGGATTGTCTCTCCAATTTTGGTTTTGTATCGAGTTTAAGGCTGGACATCCTTAAATCCAGCTTGTATACAGCTGGTGTTCATGGTCAAGTGCTTGAGGATATCTTTCATTTGACAAATATCCCAAGGGGTAGCATGTCATCTCGATATTTGGGCATTCATCTAACTTCGGGAAAACTTAAAGTAAGTTGTCATGCTCCATTTCTTGATAAAATTACAACTTATATTGGTGTATGAAATTGCTCCTCCTTATCTTATGCGGGCAAGGTGGAACTTATTAGGGCGGTTTCTCAAGGTGTTGAATGTTACTGGCTTTCTATCTTCCTCATCCCGACTACAATTACATCAAGGATTGTTAGCCTTTGTCGAAAATTTCTTTGGGGATCAAAGGAGCCTTTGGTTGCTTGGAAGGATCTTTGCCTTCCAAGAGATGAAGGAGGCCTCGGATTGAAGGACTTAAAGAGTTGGAATTTAGCGTTACTTAGTAAATCCCTTTGGAATATCCAACATAAAAAGGATACTCTTTGGATTCGGTGGGTTCATCAAGTCTATCTTCAAGGGACGTGCATTTGGGATGTATTCCTAGAAAACATCGTTTCCCACTTTTCAAAAAATTGTTGAAAATCAGAAATTTATTGAAACTGAATGTGACTGCTTCCCAGGTTTTTTTTGCATTGACCGATCGTGCCTTGGGCTGAGCTGGGTGGTGAAAATCACCGATTAATGTATGTAGGATCAGCCTCAAGTCAGGCTGTTGTGGTGCCACAAAATAGTGACCAATTAATCGGGCCGACTAAGGGAAATAATGACCGAAAACAGGCAGTACTGGACAGATTACTAAGCTGGTCGGCAGGGGAAAAATTTTGCACAAAATTGTCCTATAACTTCTTCAAGCCGAGAGGTCCAAAGAAGGTGTGGGCAGCTGATGTTTGGAGCTCTTGCATCACTCCAAAGCACTCCTTTTGCTTTGGTTAGAGGTCATTTCTAAATGTTCTTTCAATTTCGTGGTCTATTGGAAAGAGATCTGGCTCGACAGGATTTTGCATAAACTAAAGTTGCCTAAACAGTGTAATGGTAGCCTAAAAACAACTAAAAAAAAATTAAATGAAAATAAAAACAATAAAAGTAAAAATAAAAACGAATTTAAAATATCTAATAACTAAAATTAACACCGTTATTCCCCGACAACGGCGCCAAAAACTTGTTCGAGTGAATTCCCGCAAGCGTACGGGTTCGTTGACAAGTAATAATTGTGATGAGTAAAGTATCGTCCCACAGGGAATAAGGATTAATTCTAGGATATTTGATAAATTTGAATTCGTGTTTGTGACTAAAACTATCGAATGAATAGTTAACGGATTTTTAAAACTAAAATTTATAAAAGTGATGGAGGTTGATTTAAAACTCGAATATGCGAATGTATTGGATTTCAGACGCCATTGAGTAACGCTTAGTTCTAATTCTCAACTAGTGTTAATTATCTCAATTTCTGCAATTGCGACGATCGATAATTCCACAATTATTTATTATTCTTTTCCAAGATATAATAAACCTATGTTTACCACGAGACGATTCTATTCCTAGTTCGAATTCATATGGTAAACATGCATTGATAATTACGATTATCACTTATGATCGCACACGCCACAAATGTTATTCCTAATATTTATTGCCCGTATGTTCCAATAATAGTGTTCTACCTATCGTGAATTTTCCAACACAACGAATGAGCAACTTATTGTCCTAATGGTGCACTAACATTAGAACAATCTAATTATGTATATTAATGGAATCACAACGCAATAATTAACATAAAAACATAGGTCTCGAATCAAAACTAAAAATTAAACAATTTTGTCATCCATCCAATACATGAGAAAATTAGACTAGCATAATATTGGAATTAAACAAAGAAAAGTGGAAGGAAGTCACCAAAAATCGACGGGACATGATTGAGTCCACGAATTTGCTCGACTTTTGCACGTGTATGTTGATTTCCCCCAAGCAGCCGTTTTTCAATATATCTTTGGCCCAATTATGTGTGTTGTTTCTATATAAAAATCAGCAAGCTGCCGGCAAATATTCTCTGCAGTTTCCGTCGACAATGTGATTGTAATCCCCGGTTGGCACTCAAATCTTTCCTCCAGTATGCTGTCAACTTGTGTGTGCAGTATATATAAAAAAATCAGCCCAAATCCATGCAATTATACATATAGGCAGCCTGTGTATATATATGATAAAAGACCAGCAGCATTTTTTTCTTTGGGCAGCAGCCAATTTTATTCCAAAGTTGCCAAGTAATAATTCTTTCCAGCCGGCCAGTTGTGTATCTTTTTAACTCCAGCAGCTGCCCACCGTTTTTGCCTATATTCTCACCAAGGTAGCCGAATTGTCCCCAATTAATTCAACCTCAAGCAGCCTCCTTCTCTCCTTTTCAGCCACCAATTTAGTTTATCAAAAATAATAAATTCAGCCCAATGTTTGAACTCACAAGCAGCCACCTACTTCCTCTTCTCTCGGTTTTCTTCCTCCGGCTGTAGTAGTTTCTCTAGGTAAACTCTCCTCCCTCAGCCGTGTGATGTGTATCAGCCGCTGCCCAAGTTTATGTATGTATCCCAGCAGCCAATTTCTCTTCTTGCTGTAGGTTTGTATGTATATTAGTCAGCAGCAGCCGTTTTTCTCTTTTTTTCTTTCTCTCGGCCCTTCCTTCTTCTCCAAGGATTTGCATGGTTTTTAATAGTAAAACCTAGGAAAATTTTCAGCTTTGGTCCCTGAATAATTGCATCTCAAATCCTCCACTTTTTGACTTGTATGCCTTGGCCTCCAACTTCCATCAATGGCCAATTTAATCCCCTTTTTTTGGATTCTATCACTTTTCGCCAATTTTTTTGCTTCTTTCCGTTCCTTCTTCGTCCAAGCACGAGTTTTACCTAAGAAAATTAATACAATAAAATTTAGATCATATTTTGCCAAAAGAACAATAAAATTATATAGTTTAGAGCCCCGAATAAGTGTAGAAAATACACTTATCAAACCCCCAAACTTGAATCTTTGTTTGTCCTCAAACAAAACTGAAATCTAAGTAACAACAAACATACAAGCATGCAAAAATTATTTGGTTGGACAGTTTAACTTTTTACCACAGCATTTGAGATCACCGAATTAAATCTATAAACTGCTTCAAAGTTGCAATACCAAACCAATTTTCACTCTTCCAATGCAAAATCGAAGTGTGTGTGTGAAAAATTAAGTACACTAATGACTTCACAAGTTGTTTTAATTCCCGACCCTCTATGGTCAAATATATTCTTTCATCTCTCGTAAGATTCACACAGCCCCAACTTTATTATTTTCACTCAATTCCCAGCAGGTGATCTAAGGTTGAATTTTTCATTACTATCATTACTCTCTCTAGTTCAGGTGGACGTCACTAGTTGCAAGTTAATACATCAATGAACAAAGATTCTCAATTAATTGATTGCTTCAACCGCTAGGACTCAACTAGGCTAATTATCCTTCATTGAAAAGTCAAATTTTCTCGAATAAGTGCTCGGACTTAACAAGGCAATTAGTGCTTTTGCTTTTTTCATGCACTTGCTTTTTCTGATTTTTAAGAGTTTTTTTTCTCTCTCTCCATTAAGCTTTCTAGATGACCCATGTAGCAGGCTTTAGGCCGATGACTTCCAAGTCAGATGACTTTAGAGGATCAGGTTTTAAGATACCCTTACAGACTTAATCACCCGAGTCAAAAAGGCTTCGAAGAGAACAAATTTTATTTTTTTCAAGTGCAACTTCATCCCTGATTGCTTTCTAAATAACCCCTGTAACGAGCTTTAGGCCGATGACTCCCAAGTCAGATGACTTTAGGGCATCAGGTTTTAAGATACCCTTGCAGGCTTAATTACTCGAGTCATAAAAGCTTTAGAGAGAAGTTTTTAATTTCAAAATATATGCCTTGATTAGTGCAATGCCCTTTATCATACATTTATTCAATCAAATCAACCTCCAACTCAAGACTTTTACCCAATTTTATCCTGTTAGTTTAAGACAATCCACACATAAGATTTCACACATGGAATCCTTGCCCATATCCGTATCTTCCTACAATAGCAAAATCACCCCCAAACTGTTCTAAATTTGGTCTAAGGGTAAATAATTTGTATGGTATGGATAAAGCGTCTATGTTCAACTAAATCAACCTATAAAGCATATGAATCAACTTATTTCATTACAATGTCAACTCAATTTCAGTGCATATATAATATCAAATTTTGCAAGTTCAAGCTTCAATCAGTCTAGCATGCTCCCTATCCACAGTTCATAAATTAACACCAAATCTCAAATTTAATCATCATTGTCAGCCAAATTGTCTAACCCACACAAGCACACAAACAAACAAAAATAATAAGTTAACTAATTTCTTTTTTTTTTTTAACATAATAAAAACAACACACGAAAACATACGAAAACCAAAAACACAAAGTGTTTCCCCCCCCCAAACGTAAACCAGACATTGTCCTCAATGTCTTAAAACATAAGTAAAAAATGTAAGGGGATGGGGAGAACAAGGACGAAGGTACTCCCCGAATTTTTCTGTGGAAGGTACTATAGGTGACGGCTAGACAATCTTTTTCATCATGCTTTCCCTGTGGTCGATGTTGGTCTGAGTGTTCCACGACGTCATGTTCCTGCATATGGCAATCATCAAATAGTAGAGATCAAATAATCCAAAACCTATGTTACTTAGTCCAAACACTCGAAATAACCAACATTATATT